AGCCCCGGCCCCTTCCCCCCAGTCGCTCGTTTTAGGAAGGGGACAGGATTGAGACGCTCACTCTAAACCCTGTTTGAAACAGTAAGGCTATCGCTATGGAGCAAAGCATTGAGACTTGACGCTGGATAGGCTTATGATCCTTCAGGCGCTACGGCTACCGAAATAGCCGGTGCTGTTATTAACGGCGACCTTTTCTGCCAAATAAGCAGTCAGTATTTCGTTGCACTTCTGCATGCACAGTCAGGGTATTAAAAGTGATGGTTCCCACAGCAACTGTCGCTCATCGCTGGTGCTCAGCGCGTCGTTACCGGGATGTGAAATGCTGAGTTTTTCCTACATGTGAAGATGAGTCATGCATTGAAATGGAGCTGTATTTGTATCACTGGAAAGAGCTTAAAGTTCACATGCTTTACGAGTTAAAAATACATTTGTCATTTTACATAACATAATGGCATCTGGAGTTATAGCAGTTAGGAAAATAATTAAAAGGGCTAATGAGGCTTTCTCCAAGGGATATAAAGTAGTTCAACTTAGCAGGATGCAGATCTGCAGTATATTGCCATATGATATGATGCTACAGTTATTCTGCCTCAGGTTTCCCTTCCAGGCTTTCAGCAGTTCAGCTACTGAAGGGCCTGGTCCCCCGATTCCTCACCTATTCTGGGCTAATCAAATCCCAGAGGAACACAGCTATTTTCAACCTTTCTTTCTCGGGTTTGGCTTCCAGCCTTCTTAGGCTTTGCACCGCCTCCCACTGTGGCAATCTCAGGGAAATGTATACGTAACTGCTAGCTCCCAGGTTGCAAACCTCCAGTAACTGTTCTGTAGCCAGCAGCTTGCTCTTATTTTCCTTCCTATGGTTTCCGCCTGTATTTGCTGTTTTATTTGTCCTGGATGGTAATTTCCTTCTCTTTGCAACAGGTAACTACAGTCCTCTTCCCAGCTCAACAGTCACTGGGGGCTAGACCCTTCAGAAAACTTCTAAATCTCTCAGTTCTCTTCTGTATTTTATAATTTGAGAAATATACTCACTTACACCGATTTGCAGCTCCCATTCCCAGCCCCACTTCTGATCTTTGCATGTAACCCTTACACAAAAGCCTACGGCTGACCAAAGTGAGCAGAACACAGCTAGCACGTTAAAGCTAGCAGAAGGCAATTTATGGCCCTATTCTGGGAAATAATAAATGTTGCAAAAATGCCAAACAGATGTCTACTTAAGGGGTTGCTATTTTTTACAGAGTGTGTCAGAAGCAAGGAATTTCATTAAGAAATCATGACTCTCTCTAACTATTACAAGAATGGGTTTCTACAAAATAAGCTTCACGTGGTAAGAAAGGAGGGGAGATGAGGGAATAAGGCAGGATTCTTCTGTGTGAAGTTCTTTGGTTCTACACATCTTGGTTACCAACAGTCTCCCACTGAGAAGAGTTCAACTGGTAGGATACAGAACACATTTTTCAAGTCACTGCTCAAAACGATATCTTACTAGAAGCTACGGTCGTTTGGGTTCACTACTCAATATTGTCTATATATGCTTTTGGCAAAGTTCACCGTTTTACCAGCAACCAGTAATAAGTTTAAACAGAGCAAAGACCTTAAAAATCCAGTGTGAATCATGGTTAATAAGGCCTTACACCAACCCTCTGCTAATTTCACCCACCACAAATTCTGAAAAAGCCTTTCCAGCACCACGCCAAGTATCAAACAGCCTCACTGTACACAAGGATGACCGCAGCTGAGGAACAAAAAGCAAATAAATTCCCTTGCTTTTTGTGTTCATTTTTTAGATAGGCTGTTCGAGCACAAAGCATATCTCTACCCCAGGCAAAACACAAATATAATGTGCAGGAAATCTTGAAAACCAGTGACAAAGACAGTATTTCTCAGTATCTAAAAGTCTTTGCAACAGAGTTTTTACAAGGAACAAGGTGGCAATCTGATACTGTAACAGCCAAAAGTACCCTGTGCTCTTGTACTGAACTGCTGGATCTCTTCCACCCAACACCTCTCCTGATTCTGCTTAGCTGAGGCTTTTTCTTCAATGTTATTCCGACCAGGCTGGGCAACCCCAAAGCAGCCTGGTTTGGGTGCTGCACTACTGAACCGACTCTAGTGGCCTGGCGTGGTGTCTCAGGTGACCGTTCCTGCAAACCCACATTGGGAACCCACTCTGAAGTTCCCACGCTTGTAAATCCCAGCCTTCGCAATCCACATGCCGTTCATACAGAGCTGAGAGCGTTTGTTTGGGCAACAGCCTTCTCTTAAGTTGCTTAAGGTTTTATAATTTCTCTGACAAGCTCTGGGGGAGAGACAAGCGCGCTAGGTCCAGGCACACATCTTGGAGTTAACAACTGGGTTAGCCATTTAACCCCAACACCTTCTGACATACTAAAGGCAAGCAAGCGAGCACGGCCACCTTGGCTGCAGTCCTACCCCTGTCTGGTTCTGGAGCATTTCTCACAATGTCAGCTTTCAAACGCCAGTTTTAGATCTCCCTGGGAATTACATCTCAGAGGATCAAAAACTTACGCTGCGGATCCTGCAGCTTCTCTTTGTGCTCATGGCAGGTCGAGCTGTGTTAGCATCCTTTGGAGATACTGAAGGAGGACGTGCTGACAGGCCCACTGCAGCTTATTGTGCCGGGGGACATTTTTCACTGAAAAAGATGGTTTTATTTATTTATTGATGTTTGCTTTTTGAAGTTTTAAAAAACCCCAGTACTATTACAGGATAAGAGCCCACGATGGCAAAAGTTTTTTCATCCTCACAAAAATCCCTAAAACTGTAAATTAAATATTAATCCTGTTTTTACCAAAAATCCCCAACAGCAACAACACGAAACAACTTATTTCAAGAGAGAATTTAGTAGCTCAGCTATGCCTGCCTTGCCCCAAACTAGATGAGTAGCTTATAGGAGAAAATAACCAAACAATGAGGCCCTAATCTTGCAGTAAGTTTTAGGGCAGCAGCCCCATCTCTCTAAGCTAGCATGTGAGCCCTGTGAAGCTTCATGTTTTAGCCAGCGTGCAGTTGGAATACGCTGTTCCTGATTTTGCCATGTTTTGGATATCACAGATACCTGGTTTACGCACACAGCATGGTGCCATTTAAGTACAGAGGGTTAATTTTGGCTATCCCACTGGGTATTTTCACTGCCTTTTTGACATACTGTAGCAATTCGGTAACAGTAATATCTGGGATCAAAGACATTTCAGACTTTCAAATATCTCATTTCTTAACAAAACCAAAATGAAATATCTGAGTTTGCTCTCATCTGGGGAACTAGGAAAGCCGATGTCATCAAATGTTCTTTGAGGGATAGCATATTTTGGAGGAGTGATACTTAGCTGAATGCTACAGTTACCTGAGTTTGTTTATATACAAAAGTGATTTGCACAGAGATTAGTCCTGTGATAGTGATGTCTTGTAGAAATAGATATCAGCTACAATAAAGAAAATACCACCGTCAGCTGAAAATATAGTGACTTGTTTTTCTGAAACATTGCTTCCTCTGAGTAACAGCTATATATTTTTCCTGGCGTTATGAAAAATGCGCTCTCTGGGATGCATTATATAGATGTATAGATGTCAGGCTGTTTGTCAGGTGGGAGTGAGGACAGCGCTTTT